AGTAACCAGCCCTCCACCAGAAAAAAAATGTCCTCTGCAAGAAGACAAAGTTACAAGGGCCTTTTACTTTAGTAGATTCAGATAAGAGTGTAACAAAAAACAAAAGACTTTCAGTAGTATAAAATCTCCTGTAGCCGCACTGAACTACCTAATGTGACAGACGCAGAACTTCTGTTCACTCATCAGTCAGGCTTACGATCGTTTACATCAACAGGTTACTGTGCTCTTTAAATATTTATTAATTGTTTGATTTGCAAAAATAAAAAAATAGTGAGAAATTACGTTATGATCAGCCACAGCCTAAAGTGACACCTTCACAATGTTTGTTTTGTCCAACCTCACAATTATTTAAAATACATGGAAATAATCATAAAGAACGGCAGCAAATCTACACATTTGTGAAGCCGGAACCATGAAATGTTTTTTAAAAATTACTCAAATTATTATGAAAATAATTGACAATTTACACTGCCTCCAGTTTCATATATATACATGCATAAAAGCAAGCAAATGATTACTCTACATTCAAATAAATCAAATTTATTTTCTGTTGGCTAATTGATGAATCAACTTATTGTTTCAGCTCTACTTCTTGGTTAGTTTAATTTATAACAAAACATATTTTATAAGCTCTCTTATAAAGTAACTAGTAACTAAAGCTGTCAGAGAAATGTGGTGCAGGAAAAAGTAAAATATTCTCTCTGATGTATAATAAGTACTAAAGTACTTGAGTAAATCTACTGTGTTATATTCCACCACTACAGACAAATCTAAGATATCTCGATAGCTTTGTGAAACTGGAACTTGGTGAGCTCGAAAGCAGGAATAAAGATGCCTTCGCTCACAAGGATACGGTATTTTGTTGACCAGGCAGTCTTGGAACTATATCTGAAGCAGACATTAAGGTCTTTCTCATGTATTGAAACATTGGATGGAGGCTGCAAACGTGACTGCCTCACTGCCCGAGGAAGGAGAACATGTAACTGCTGTCATCCATCAACAAAAGTGGAGGACACCCAAACAAACACGCACACGCATACACACAAACACACTTCTCATTAATCAGAGTTTGGTGGTCCGGGTTATTTAAAGCCACATGTTTCCTGACCAGTGGGCATTAACAACAGGGTAAAGGGGAGGAAATTGCTGGATGGGAGCTAATGTGACGTAAAAGCAAACATTAAGACTGATATCTATTACACCTGCTAAAACCCCAGTCTCAAAATCAACAGACTCCAGAGCCATTTGTCAAAGTGATTTTGATGGATGAAAGATGTCTAAATATCTGCCAAAGAAACTAAACAGCTAAACCTTGAACATTAAGCTTCAGCATTAGTGCAAATCACATGCTCCTGTAACCGCTGAGTGTAATTACCATATAATTACATCCTGATTGATAATTAATAGTTCAGTACTTCACACCTAAATAATATCAACCAAAGCTCTAATTTGCTCTGATACATACAGGGAAGGTTTTGTCGAAGTTCAGAGGGGTCCCCAATGGGGTCCATGGAAAAAAATTAGGAGTATATAAACACACAGAGGGAAGCGGTATAATATTTTTGTTATCTTAAGGGGCCTCCCACAAATTTGCACATTTGATAAATCTTAAAAAGGTTAGAGGAGCACCGTGAAACATTTTCAAAGCATTTAAAGAGCTGATATCTGAATTTCTTGCCAAATGCCACAGTGAACTATAAAATGGTAAAAGCAGAACAAACTCCTGCAAATGAGTTATACTATTTATGTTTCTGTGACAGACCAAACAAATGCATAAACAAATGTTAATCAAAATTCTACATGCAAATAGGTACACAGGAAAGTCACTGCTTGACCTTGTCAAGGAGGAAGATGGCAGCATAGCATGTCGTCTGTCTGTGCCATATGTAGCATGCAGTGTTTTTACCAACACTGTTGGACCTTTTACTCAGAAACTTTGCCTTCCCCCACCTGTCTACAGTGTCTTCATTATTGTTATTGGTTTTTACTATTGTTTTTTTTTTCAATGTCAGTTTTTGTATTGCTTTGTCTGAGAACTTATTATGCTGCCATTCTGATCAGATCTCCCTTGCAAAAGAGGTTTCCATCTTTTTTCCATCCAGTGGGTCTTAACTAGTTTAAATAAAGATGAATGGAAAATAAAAACAATACAAGTTTCCAATCTTGGCGAAAAAGTTTTCTAAAATATTTTTTTGTTTTTTTATGTTTCTTTGAAATACAGACTAGGCTCCTCTTTAAAGAAAATATAGAATAATGTGAGGTACACAATCTCAAAGCAGACTATAAGCCTTTGTGGAATCAGAGATGTTTAAAAGACATAAATGTACAATATTATTTATTGTCAAATATGTGGATAGATTATTAACAATACATTACTTATTTGTCAAGCAAAACAATTGCAGTTACTACCTGTCTATTAGCTGCATGTAAAAAAAAAAAAAGCAAAGGTGCTGATTATTTATTAACATCTACGATTTATAACACTGGAAATAATCATAATCATAAGTAAAATAATCATAATACATAAAAATTTTAACCTATATCAGATTAATTTAGGCATTTTTGGTGATACTTTTCCCCTGTGCCTGTCCTCATCCAGACAGACTGCTTTCCCATCTACATTAAGATATACTCAAAGATTATTAAAATATAATTTTATCGAATGTGCACCCATTTATTTGACTAACTAAACTATAAAAAATGCTTTTGGATACAAAACATGACACATGAGACATACTAAAGAAGACTGAGGCAGTTTAAATTAGATGACATGTGCAAACACAAAATTAATCAGAGATTATCACCTGAAATTTGTTGTTTCTGGGCATACATGAACAAATCAGTGATTGTTTTTTTGCTTCGAACTGCCAAGTTGTTTTTCCACATCTTTCAAAAGGGCAAAATGGAGCAAGAAACAGCCCAAACAATCACACATTTAAAAAAAACAGCCTGTGGTTATGTAAAGCATTGGATTAATATATAAAAAAGACCAGAAACTGGAATCTATTCAAGCTAAATCTTCAGGGAACTCTGCAGACTCAATGTGGAGGTCAGAGCTGCAGGTCACAACCCCACCAACAAAGACAGAACTCAACACAAAACAGAGGGGAAAAGACCCACAAAGGAGGCAAAAACGGACTTGGTTATTCCAAATCTCTTCTACATTTCAAAGAAACTGGTTTCAGTAGAAACCAGTGCCTTCCTGGACAGTACAAATACACTCCAGTTAATGAAAAGCTGATGGTGCTGCATACAGACTTCAGTAAGTTCTGTATCTTCTACTATGTTACAGTTTGATACTTAACGAAATCCTTACTGCATAATTACCTACAAGATATCCCACCATGGTACTATCTTAGTACAAGTATTTATTACTTCATAACAATAAAGGAACTACAACTGGGCCATTATTTCACGATAATACGAAATCATTTTTGATAATAATTACTAAGCAACTGATGTACCCCAAAATATATAAATTAAATTAACCAAAAAATGTTTTGCATTATTGATTGCATTTATCAAGCACAAAGCCTTAACAATTTTTCCTAACATCTGTTTCACAGATATGTTACCTTATGTATATATTTCCTACCTACTGTATTTATTATCAATAATTAGCTCCCTGTCCTGCTCATTATATTGTTGACATATCAACTGCACAGTCACTATTTAGTTTAATTTTGAGGTACTTTACTTGAGTATTTTATTTTATTATATTATTTATTATATATGTTATTTCTACTACGTCATTACACTTTAGAGGTAAATATTTTACTTTTAATTCCACTATGTTTATTTTACACAAAAATAATTCTGATGTATTCTTATATATTATCTACCTAGCAGCAGATAAAGTTATTAAAATTAGTTCCAACACTAAAGTGTTGAGACTATAGGTGAAAATTTGCTTTTGAGCTACCACAGGCACGTTAATGTCAATGCTGATTCACGTGCACTGTCCACTATAAATGAACAAATAAACAATGTATCAATAATCGTAGTCAAACAATTTAATATATATCATTGTGAAATAGGCCTGCAACTTCAGGTACTTTAAGTATATTTTGTACCTGTAACAGAGTATTTTACACTGTGGTTACTGCTACTTTTACGTCAGTAAAATATCTGAGTACAGTTTGCCACAGATTAAGTCAAATGCTAGCAGAAGCAAATTCTGATCAACTGTTTGTGACACATTGTTATGTAAAGTCTAAACTGTAATCCATCTCAGAGGAATCCAGACAGATTCAAGAAGCCCTGAACAAGGCCTCTCTGTCTTCATAATGGCTTGAGTCTACAGCGACAGAAATATGAAACCCAGTGACAGGGATGATTAAACACAGAAAAATCAAGACGATTATTTGCTTCTTAGACAGTGTTTCACTCAAGTCCACTCTACAACTATGCTGAATTGTCTTTTAGAGAGTTGCCACAACTCAGTTCAAAGCCTGTAATGATGAAGGAAATACATCAGAATGTGTGCTCTGCTGCTCTCTAGTGGTAAAAATTGGAATATGTTATTTAAAGATGGGAACACCTGTTCACCATTAAAACAATAGCAATCAAAAAAGTCAGTGCAATCATTTAGCTTTCTATTGGCCTGAATGTCGTACATGAGCATGTTCTGACTGTTAAAGCTATCTGTGGGATATTCGTAATCTTGTATTATTATCTCAGTCAATAAGCACTTGAGCAGTAACATCCTTTTCTAATCCTTATTGTAAATTAAAAGTATTTAGACCATTAATTATGTTTTTGCATAACACAGTGAAAAGTGATATTAATATGATTAATATGGGCTTATTTGACCGCAAATCATGATCATCCAAAATATAATCATATGATCAACTTCAAGGTGGAGACCTGTGGTATCAATGTAGGTTATATCATCTATTGTTCTTCAGAGACGACATTGCTAAAAACATCTGAAATTCACAATTTTCAGATTGCACATTCCTCACAATGCACGACAAAAAAACAATCAAAGCAGCACTTACAGAAGTTTCCAGGCGGCTGTAAGCTGTGTTTTGTCAGAGCACACCAGCCAACGGGGAAGATGTCTCTGGAGTCGAAGGCGCACCAATAGTCAAAGGCACCTCGCCAGCCGTCAAACATGACAAAAATCTCCTGACCTCTGACCTCTCCAACTGTGGCGGGACAAATCAGATAGGGGTTCTTCCTGTCCACTGCCTCCAGTTTCATACCTGGCTGGAAGTAGTTTTTAGCAGGGATGGCTGGTTCCTAAACACACACACACATAAGTGCACATAAGCAAGAAAATTAATATTTGCATTCACAGCACATCTGCTTTACTTTTTTTTTTTTAAATAAATAGCCATGCACACTCAGCAATTGGAATGGAAAATATCTTGCAACTATTTGAACACATTTACTAATAACTAAACAGAATTTGAATTACATTTTTATTGAAACAAAACATTGCTTCCTCCACTTTTTGTCTGTATGGATTTACTGGCATGCTGCTGTGCCTGATCCATAGTGTACATGACCTATGAGTAGCTCCCCCTTCTGTCTCTGCTCATTACTGCAACTGTGTACTATGGTATTATGACCCAGCATTAGAGCCAATGATCAGCCTCTATTAATTGATTTAAGTGTTATAATGTGCATTTTAAAGGACCAGTGTGTAGTCTTTAGTGGCATCTACAGCTCATTCTAAGGTAATAAAAACAGAGCGATTCTTATTTTCAGGTGATTATACATTAATGAAAACATACCTATGAATATTATGTTCTATTTCTGCCAGTAGATCCTCCTAAGTGTTACACAGTGGACCTTTAACATTGATTGTGAAGGGATTAGGACACTTCTTTAACAGGAACATTATTCCCCATTAAATGTCATCTCTTAATGCTATTCTCATTTTTTTCATGAAACTCTTATTTTGTGACATGTAATTTTGATAACTTCCAAGTTTTATCAGCTTCAGTATAAAATAAAATATTATCAGTACAGGCCTTCAGTAGCTTCTCCCAGTAGTCATTACCTTTTTAAAAGCAGAGGCTGGAGCCATCTCTGCTCCACTCAGCGTCCGCAGGAGGAACATAGGCCACGAGGAGGCATTCATCCTGAAACCTGAACACCAGGTCAAAATACAACACAAGGGTCAGATTTATTAAAATGAAAACAATGCAACAGGATATATACTGTGTGAAGATATAAATGTGTCTACTGACCACTGTAACAACAACAACAGACCATTGTAAGCAATGTTCAATTAAATGAGCTGTACATATTTGAATTGTTGACCAGATCTGGGATGCGAGCAGTGATTCAAAGGATCTGCTCAGGTGGAAATTGCACAGCAGAAATTGTGGCATGTCATTGCAGGAAACTGACAGGTATAATAATGATTGCTGCAATCAACTTAGGGGAGGTCCTGCTATTGTGCGTGCTGGTTCACTAGTCACTGTTACTGGGACACTTAGTGGAACGGAGCCATTGTTATTGTGACCCGTGTTTTTCCTGCTGTGAAAAATCTAAATGTCTGCTGTGCAACCAGCCCAACAGGCTTCACTATGCTGGTAATGACATGTTACCATGTATTAATTAAAACGATGAAGCTGTAAGTTGTCCCATTCTAACAGGAGTAACAAAACAAACGTCTGCTGTAGACAGCAGACATTTTGTCTTTTAATGGTAGGAAAGGCACAGGTGATAGCCGACCTCAAACACTAACAATAATTCTGTTCTATTCAAGTGTCCCAGTAAGCCATGAGAGTCTGCCAGCATGCACAATACCAGGGGCCTGAAACTGAAGCAGCTGAATGGAATTCAGCCACCACTAATGTTATTATTTATACCTGTGCTTTTCCTGTCAGTCAAGCACAGTCTGTGCACATCCACACTGTGTAGGGGCTCTTAAGGTTCAAATAATGTTATTGTAATGTTGTATTTTTAATCAAGTGTCTATGTATCTGTAGTAGTGTGTATTTACCCTTGAAGTCTTTTATTGAAAGGCACATGTTGGCTCTTTTATTTCCTAATTTTCATGGTTACCTGAAGTGTTGGGGTACTTTTATAGAGTAAATATCTTTTATTGTAGAATTCATACACTTTTCTACAAGAAGGGAATGTTCTGCATCTTAATTGGAAGTTTAGTGCTTGTTTTATTGCAGCTCCTTTAGCTTTACTTTCTCGTTTCGTTCTGGACTTTTGGCTTTTATACAACGGAGACCCTGTTTTGTCAGGGAGGTTTCGCTGTTGCATTGCAATAAAGTCCTGAAAAGTGTGGTCCACGGATATGTATTAGATCCACTACATATCTATCACATTTTGAGTAAATTATTTGTTTGAGACATTGTTTAATTTTAAAATATTTAAATATTTCGCATTACAAAAAAATGTCATGTAAAAACAGACTCACTGCTGGCTGTACCAGTGTAAAGACACTCACCCAGCGGTGGCTGCAGCATGTCTCCGGTCCTTTCGCAGGTTCCTATTGGCTGAATTTCTAACGAGTCTATCAGTCTCCAGAAGTCGTTGGTGTTGTCACTACCGTCCAGACGGAGGCGTAGACGAGTACCCATCATGCCCATCACCGTTGCAATGCACACAGAGTTAGAGTTGCGAGGGTCCCGTGCCTCAAGTTTCATACCAACTTTAAAGTCATTGGAGGGGGGCACTCTGGACTGCAGAGGGACACACAGTCACTGTCATGTATTGTGATGACACTTGTGATTGGATGATTGAAATACTACCAGTCTTTAAGCTAATGCATCTTAATAATCAGCTACCTGTTTGAAACAAGTCGGCGACGCTGCGACAGAGGACGTTTCTCTCAGATAGTCTTCCCAACTGAACGGTTCTAGTAACAAAAACAACAGAAACAAACCATTGATTACTGGCAGTTTGTCTTAGGAAAGTGCAAGAGAAAATGCAGTGACAGTGCAAGTACTAAAATATATTATAATGAAGTGACCCAAACAAATGAGAGCTGCGTTCACAAAATATTTTCAGGAGGACTAAAACTTCTGAGGTACTATTTTTTGTCTTTAATCTGCAATAACAGTTTTTTTGGCCACTTGGGGGCAGCAGATACAAAGCTATGGACACAGTATTGATATATCATCATATTTTAAGTTGATGAACTTGTTGTATTTATACATTCAGTAGTTACAGAACATAAGTCCAATATTCAGTCTTTATTAGCTCTTTTTGTCTCTACCAACTCCTGTGGGGAATATCTGTCTCTGTAACCAAAATCTCAGCATTTTAGCAGACTTAGACATATTTATGTAAATCATAAATATAACAGACTTTACAATTGATTACAACTATAAAGAAAAATGCCCAGTTTATGCTACAGTTGCTAAATCTGTTTAGAAGAAATAGCAATACATTTCGGTTAAATTTGGTGCACATCAGTAACTTGCTAAAACCTTCTGAATTCACAGTTTAACATGTAACTTATGAGTAACTTATTTAGTTAACACACCCCAGAAGTTAATGAATAAAAGACAAAATAGGTTACTGCAAGAATTGACACATCAGCTGCTGAATCAAAAAAGCTATTAAGTCAAAAAGATTTAAATTACACTGCTAATGAAAGGATCAACAATAAAGAGGCACAAGCCAGAGAACAGAGTTGCCAACCATTAGATTTGTCGAGGGCAGAGCCTGCTGTGATGCTGCTTCGTCTCTCCTTCTCCTCTTTTTGATCTGAAATCAAAAGATGATTGAACTACTCATCAGGATTTGGAAGCTACTGATACGCAGGTTGTAATTACTGTGTGAATGAAGGCATGAAACCTGCAATTGTAATAGTTCAAGGGAAAAATAAAATGATCTCAAGCATACCAAACACCAAAAATTATAATGATGCAGTAGCAAGGACGTGCACAAGGCGGGGCTAATGTTGCCTGAGCAACAACCTATTTGCTCTCTTTGGCTGAGCTGCCTTTCTGCTGTTGTGCCTGCACAAATACAAGTTGCTCATAATTGCTAGAGATTTAAATTAAATAAAAAATGTTGACATGTTTGCATCACATTGTGCGATATTTTTTATATTATGTTATCACATAAACTAATCTTAGCCAACTAGCTAGCTGGCTAACATAGGCAGCAAGCTACATGCAAGATCCTGTAACCTGTAGCATAATAAGGCAATATTGCAACATGATGCAAGCGTGATGCAAGCCACGCATTGTTCTGAAGCATTTTTATTTACATGGCATCCCATTTGTTATACCATTCCTCAGGGGTTGCCCTTTTTTCAGGTTAGAGCAACAGCCCCTCCAAACGTGTGTGCACGTCCCTGTGTGGTAGGAAACATCAGTGAGCATTTTCATCTGTGTGTGTTTGTTTGGTGATCAAATTGAGACATTTGAGAATTAGTCAAAGACCAACAGTGACAGGAGGACAACCAGAAGAACAGTATTGTGAAGGCCTACCCCTGTGTGGTGTTCGGCCCATGATGACCAAAGTTAACCGTGCTGCTGCAGAGGAGGTGAAGTCAGACAGGCTTTTACCTACACAGACGCTGGAGAGGAGACAGATACACTCTAAAAACTTCATCCACAATATTCAAATAATACCAGAATACAGAGATCTACAGTTTGGGATTATTTTAAAATAGCTCTTTGATGCCACAGCCCTATTAGAGTTAATAGATTATAAACTTACATGCAAAATTAATTTCACTTTTGTCCACAAAGACCAAGAAAGTGGATTACATCACTCCGGCTCTCAGATCTTTACACTGGCTTCCTGTGTGTCAAAGAATTGATTTTAAATTACTGCTGTTGGTTTATAAAGCACTGAATGCTGCTCCATTATGAAGCGTCTGGACGAGCATTCAGTTTTTATGCACCACATATCTGGAACAAACCCAGAACACTTTGATTCAACAGTTCTTTTAAGTCAGGGCTTAAGATTTTTTGCCACTGCATTTTATTAAATTAAATTTGGGACTATTTAGTTATTTTATTTATTGTCACACTATTTTTATTTTACTCTTTCAATCATATTTATTACTTTCTTATTGTGTATGTGTATTTTTATATTGTCTTGTTTCTTCTGTCTATGTTGTTGACTTGCCTGGCCTCTTTTGCAATACTGAACAGTGGCAATTTCTTTTTAAAGGTCTGGTGATATTTTTCTTACTGTCAACAAATCCAATGAAAAGACCAAAACCAACAATGAACTGATCCAAATAACAAGTCTTTATCTTGTCTGTGCAGCTAAATCCATACTTGTTTTCTTGTGTTTACCATTAAAACCACAATGAGCCAAATTGTTGAACTGGGTGACATGTTCCTTCACTACCATGAACACATACACTGTAATTTATTTTGAGTGAATGCAACATGTACCATCCTGCTTCAGTAAAGTATTCACTACAGCACCAAACATGTATTAATCCACAGCTGAAAATAGTCCCTAACAAATACACTATTGACTCCTGATATCTGAGTAATGTTTGCTAAAAAACAGCTGTTTTAGAAAATTACTGAGGCTTTTTAAAAAATATGACTGTATATTTGTAACACATTATTAAAGATTTCTGTCTGCAGTAGGAATGAATGGGTTTTCCGGGATAGCACTGCAGATAGGGTAGGAAAGTCAGAAAGTATTAAGAGACTGACTAACATACTGTGGTTTTATTTTTTTCTACAGGATTTGTTGACAGTAAGAAAAACAAGATTATCTCACAGTCAAAGACAATCTTCAGTCTAAATACTATGTTTGCTGCAGATTGTTTGCTTCAGGTTTCATTCTGTCATTGTCACATATGATTGATATTTTTCTGATTGTATTACTATTATCCTTTGATATCTAATCTGTTACTCACAATCTGGGTATAAACAGATGATATCCTATAATTTACAGAATAATACAGCAATCATATAAGATTCATTAAAACCCAATTAAAACATCTAATCCTATTAACTGTGCGTGATAAATACTTGATACCGCATAAATACTCCAGACATGTGCACGTCTGCTGAAGTAAGGGAATTTAAAATAAAAAGTGTCCAACAAATGGTATGTGCTGTTATTTCACAAGTCCGTATGAACTCCTCTGACCAAAAGGTTTCAGTTAGCAGCTTTGCCTCACTACTAACGTTTAGTCCTGTAAAAATTGTAAGAAATAGAAATATAATTGTTACCACACTGTTTATGCTGAAACTCTGCCACAAACATCCAGGTTCACAAAAACTCTCGGATAAAGTCCCACTCCCTGAAAAGTCTGCACATAGTGAGAGCTCAAAATGAAGCATAAAAATAATCCAAGGTACCAGAGCATCAAAAAAGTGATACATTCCAAATTAAATCCAGAAATCCAAAGGTTAAAATCTCTCCAGAAGCCAGACAATGCCTCCTTTCCTTGCGTTTGAAACTATTAGCATCTGCAATGTATTGTGACTGTCCCTCCCTCTGAAGACCCCTCTGCCTCAGCAGCGAATCCCATTGAGTCAGAAGGAGCCATAAAGATTCCAAGCTGCCATAAAAAGCCATTAAGAAGTGTGGATGTGGGACGTCTGCTGGCTGACATGAAAAGGATTCCAGCTCTGCTCCTCGCCCAGCTCCAGACTGGTTCAGTGTTTGCATTGGTCTGTCTGCCTCGCTCAAGAGGGTCAGACAAAACCTGTCCAGCAGACCAGGAAGCACTTAATTTTTACGGCCTCCATTTCCACTAAGGCAGCCACTTATCTGGGATTAGTGTAATGTTCACAGACCTGAACAGTGAGAAGATCTGAAAAATGACCCGAGACCTTGTTTCAGGAGAGGTTGTAACTTTTCCTTCACAGATCTGTCAGAGTGGCAGTGGTAGTATTTTTTCTCATGTGAATTAAAAGATTTGTTAAAAAAGTATGCAAAATTTCAAAATGACATTGTTGTAATTAATATATTTAGACTGATACTTGATGCTTGCACAAATATTGTCATTTCATTATGTTATTTAACTAAGTATAAAGGTCACCTAAAGTTCCATGAAAGATGTAATGTCACAGTAGGTAATTTCTGAGAGTAATACAGTATTATCTATTATTAGTGGGGCTGTAACTGATGATTTATTTACCAAATCAATAATCAGTAGAATACTTTTACGATTAATTAATCAAGTCTATACATTTGTGGAAAAGTTCCCAAAGCATCACAGGTGATGGCTTGAAATTGCTTATCTGGTGACCATCAGTGCAGAAATATCAAATGTACGATGAAATAAAACAGAGGAAAGCAACAAATGCTGACATTTAAGAATCTGGAACCAGCACATTTGCCATTTTTGTAATTTAAATGATAAATCAACTGATTGTTTCAGCAGTGATAACATTTGAATGTTTCTTTTACATGTTTACAACAAACAAAAAACGTATTTTGTAAAATGTAGATGCTCATTAACATTATGCTGAAATAACGCCCACGGGACATGTGGCTACACAATTGTAGTAGTGGATGTTTTTGTTTAACTCAAAGAACATTCTTTGTCTTTTTTTTTCTCTGATGTCACAAGAATATTTTGACCTACATTTAAGGAAAGGAGTTAAAATAATTATTAAAGTATCAACACGATTCAAAATAAAGTTGTTCAGATGTTTTCAAATTGCTCATTTTGTACGACCAACAAGTTAAAAACCCAAAGATATTCCGTTTCACATTCAACAAAGAAAAGCAGCAAATCTAAGCCTGAAATAATCAGTTCATTAACTTACAGAAAACTATTTTTATGTTTTAATCAATAATCACCACAATGCCACATTCTTGCTGATTTGCTGCTTTTCTTTGTTGAATGTGACTGTAAACTGTAGACATGTTTGCCTGTGGGACTTTGTGAAGAACCTTTATAGACAAAAATATGAATCAGTTAATAATAATAATAATAATAATAATAATAATAATAATTCAGAAAATAAGATTCTTCAATAATGAAAATAGGTTGCAGCCCTGAGCAAATCCTCCCAACTGAGAACCTGGAGCCAGGAAATATTTTACATATTTGAGATGATATTTCCTGGCTTGAAAAATTAAGATTAATCACTAATCACTTTACAAATTTTAGCTTGAAAAATAAGTTAAATGATAAAAAAAAATGTCAAAATAGTTGCTGATTAAATTAATAGTTTCATAAAGACTTTATGTGGGTTTAGCCTGCAGCAAGTCCTTCTGTGGGATTAGAGGGGAAATAACCATTTTATAAAATCTGACAGTATTGAGATCAACGTACAAATCCAGGTTGAAAACCATCCTCACAGCCTCCCCTGGTGTTTTTGTGTGCGTGTGTATGTGTGTGTGTGTGTGTGTGTGTGTGTGTGTGTGTGTGTGTCCGGCAGGACGGTTTGGAGACAGGGGAGTAAAAGGATCACATTACTGCTGAGAGGCTGAGGGGTGTGAGCCGCTACAGGGCGTCACCTCCAGGATGGTAACTTGGGATATGGTTTCATATCCAGCAACTTTTCATTACAGAATATTTCTCATCCAAACAGCTTTCTTAATACCGACATTTAGGTATTATAAGTTGCATCATCATATCCTACCTGTGTGGCATTAGGTTGCATGTGTGGTTGATTGGAAGAAGAAAACAGATCATTACTTTCTTTCATTTTCAGGATTTAGGTTTGGATGGGAAAGACTAAATCAACAGAAGATAAAATATAATTTGAAGAGAAGTCTGTGACGCATTTTCATTTGGTTTATGGTCACATTTTGTGGGCGGGACAGTGGTCCATATGCAGACTAAACGCTGCTAACGTTACGTTATATTCAACGGGCGTGATACTACAAGGCTGCGGGATTATTACCAAACGTTATTTTAGTTGCAGTTTTATCCTCTGCGGGAAGCCAGTAAACATAAAGCAACGGGAAATCTGCGTCAACGTCGCTACTGTACGCACCAAAGCTGCTCTCCGCCTGCACAGAATACAGTATAAACACGCTCTGCTATCTATCACTGCAAGGGCGAAACGGCAGGACAGCAGCTCGCTTTTTGATCGCAGCCCCGAAAACAAACGAGAGAGAAACCCGTCATTGGCAGCACATGAGAGTAATAATGAGACATGAGCCGTACCAACCGTTTGAACAAGGTATTTTGATGGGAGATTCCTCACTTTCTATCAGATGCAAGCCGCCATATTCGCTGCAGCTCCGCGCATGTCCACCGCGCAGTGCTGTAATTCATATTTTTCCACTGGAGGTTAAAAAAAATAAAACAGAGACAGAGGAGGGTAATTTTTAATTAGTCATTGTATGAAGACAGATATTGTTTCGTGTTGCGTTTTGATAATAAACGGCGTGTAGCGTGGAAACGAAAATTGTTCAGTGTTGTATTTTCGGTGTATGATGCAGGAGGAGGTGATGAGAAGGACAGAGGAGATATAACTGCAGGTTTACTGGAAGGTCAGATTCATGAGAGGCTGTAATAAAGAAATTCTATTTTTTTAAAAAGACCATATCCGAAAGAACAATTGTGGATTTAATCGTAATAGTGCAATAAACCAGCCTAATTAAGGGAGATTATTGCTGGATTGATTATTAATGTTGTCCTTTTTATCCCTGCTCCAACATGTGTTAAAATACTCAAAAGTCCAGCATTCAACATTTTACTTCATTTAAATATTATCAGCAAATTGTACTCAAGTATCAAACGTAAAAGTGTTCATTATGCAGAATGGTACCAGTTAGAGAGATGTTATAGTACTTTTTTTTATATATAATATTAATATTGATACATTTGCTCAGCAGCTGGAGGAGGTGGAGTAAAATTTAACTACTTAACTACTTTAAACTACTTTCTATGCTGCAATGTGTGTGTGTGTGTGTGGGGGGGGGTGTACTAGTTTATGAATATTTATTATCCTATATACATTTTGTTATTCTGTTCTATTTTATAGTGTTTTTCTAACATATTTCAACATCAGATTTAAAAGCAATAGCCTTATAAGATAACTCTGGCTCATTTGCAGTTTTTCTCAGCTGATCAGTGAGCACTGTCTCTATCAAATAAACCAATAAAATAAAGCCTATAGTAAAGTTTACCTTATTTTATGTTAAACTGACAATATGTTTTGTTTGTGATCTGTAAATTAACTATTAGTGTAACATAGAGGAGTAAAGAAGTATTTCCCTCTGAAATGTAGTGGAGTGAAAGTACAAAGTACTATAATAGAAATACTTAAGTAAAGTGTGAGTACCTCAAATGTGTCCAAAGTACAGTACTTGAATAAATGTAGGGTACTTAGTGATTTCACCCAACTGCTGATTATTGCCATAAAGATAACGATGGAAGTCTATCCATCATAAAATCCATATATGGCATAAAATTAAGAACCTCAGTGCAGTGATAAAATGTGAAATTATTTCTTTCAAATCTTGATATCCTAATATTCAAACACTTTAAACACTCAAATAACAAATGTGGCATCAAATGTAGGTGAGAAAGTTTTTCTTTGGCAACAACTCAGACCAAATGTTCCACATTTAATGAGGGCAGCTGAGCACTACGACTGTAGAGTTAAAAGTAAAATGTCACTCCATATCTTACCCCACAGTAATGATGAGTCAGGATACACTGTCCCACCATACAGGCCACTTGAGAAAAAATAGAGCATTGGTACATTTACTTTAGTATTATAGGCTTAGTAATTAAAAACGTATGTACATCTACCTTGATTTGAATATTTTATGTTTTATACTTTATACTTTTTATCTGCTACATTCCAGACTACATTTCCTCTGCATCTCACAGTTGCTTAATTTAATAATATTTTGAAACATAATTAATGATTGAAATTAAGATGCATTTGTTAAAGCTCTATCCAAAAGTATATAAAGTGCTTATATTAGCTCCATTTCAACCAGCTACAGCATTAAAAACAGCTTAATGCATCAGGAAGCTACAATTCAGCGTTATAAAAAGAATTAAAAACAATAAAAAGAGATCAATTATTATAATGATAGTGACAAAAACTGCAGTTGTGTCAGTGAGAACAATGAGTTGAAAAGGATGGTGTGGAGGTCAAACACAGAACACATGGCCTTTGGGAGAAGGTGGGTTCTCGCAACAGCCTGTAGCTGCAGCAGTTAACGTACAAAATATTTTATAACACCTTGCTCATTATGAAACAGACCGCGTGTCGGTGAATCCAGTGAATTCACACTGATTTCGCCAATTAGTGCAGTCATAAAGGGGAGGTGTAGGTGGGAGAGAGTGGAGACAAGCTGCAGGAAGATTTCTAATCACTGACACAACATGGATTGACCAAAAGGAGGGAAGCAACAGCAGTAACCGGCCGTGTGAAATCTCTGAATCACTGGAGGGTGATTGATATCAGGCATATTTAATATTTAAGAAATAACGAGCTGTATTCCATTTCCATCCCAAAGTTTCATTTTATCACAGTCATATTGGATGTAAAAACCACTGCTGGAACGCGCAGACGTCCCTGTTTCTATTGGCTGTGCGCTGCGTCGCTCAGAGGGATGACGATTTTGCTGCTATTACCAGCTGATGCTGAGGCTATGAACACGGAGCCTCTGAAGAACTGTTGACGGTACATTGACACCAAGTCATCGGCGTTATGCCCGCGGATTCGGTCTCATCTCCATCCAGAGATTGAGTGAGTAGGATATTTGATCGTGTCACGACGCACAGGCCCGGGCTTTCCCCCCCTCCTGTCGCTCCACATGATGTTTCTTCGTCTTCCCACATCATCATTTTCACGGGCATGATGCTGTGTGCTTCACAGATTGAGCTTTCTCACCTCATACAGGCGACACATCACATCTGCAGGTAAAGAGGTTCATTGCTTTAAACGACGGACGGGCTGCGTTGGATTATCTGTTCTTTTTTGTATGCGTGCGTGAGATTTTGTCTTAATTATGGGGTTATGGGCAAACGCTATTTGTGGATCTTGTTGTGCAACACTGTCATGAACACTGGTCCGCGAACCACGTTATTATAATGTATGTGCTGGTTTGCTGTGTAGGCTGAGAAACGCGTGGACAGCGATGGAATGGTGGTGCGCTCCGCAACGCAGCGATGAGAGAGACGCAGTTTCGATGCAGAGAGAGCAGCATTACTATCCTCTCTTTGCTTCTCTCTCTTTCTCTCTCTCTCTCACCTCATATACACACACGCACACACACACTTAGTCCCGTGCACGCGGACGCACGCACCTGCCTATTAAATGCACACTCCCAAACTCACTCGTTCCCATGGCTTTTCCTTTGCACGCAGACACCAACAGGCGTTTGATGCAAGATTGATGTTGCAGTCCGTTCTATCAATATTTTTCAGGACTTTCACAGTGATGTTGCCATCAGTAGGAGGAGGAGAAGCAGCAGCTTATCAATAAACCGACCCTGTGCTGCCTGTACCCATTTTTTAGGCACAGTTTTCTTTGAGTACAGGAAAGAATGCATCATAGGTTGCCCCAATTGCAGGCTTTCAGGATATATTTGTCTACTCAGACAAGGTACAGTATGGATCTAATCACTCCAACACCATGGCAACACCATATCCTTAAATGACTAGCCATGGATGGCCTCAACATCCACCTTCTCATTTCCTCTGAAAAGACTTAGCTGTGTGGAGTGTACACTGCATAGGAAAACGCCCACACAGGCACATGAGCCAAATCAACATTAAAGTGTTTTTGCACTGCTGAATATATCAAGTGTTATACAAATGAAGTTGGACTGATACTGTGAGAAGCTTTGATGGTTCCAGTCCAACAGCATTCGCATTACAAAAGAGGCATTTAATAACCGTGGTCAGTTTTTGGATGTGTGACAGGAGAAGATCTAAGCCTTTGGATATAATTGTACTGAGCTTTTTTTCTTCCTAAAACAAAACACTTTATCATTGAGTGTGTATAAATGTGCATGGCCTTGGAAATTGGTTCAACATTTTGAATGTGGCAGCAACAGAGAGCTGTAGGTAATTATACAGTGGATACGACACAAAGTACAGCTGAGGCTGATGAGAGTGTCAGTAGTTTTCATTACCATAAATGTCTGTACCAAAGGGCATGGCTATCCATCCAAGAGTTGTTGAGCTATTTCGCTAAAAAACAGAAAAGTGAACTTGCTGGTGGTGCAAGTGGAAAAGTCAGAGGATGACCAGAATGAGTAGGAAACATCATGTAAGAACTATTAATGTTTGTACATTCACCAACTTCACAATCAGTGAAGATTTTAAGATATTTCAGTGGATAAGTGAAAGCTTTAACCGGCTGATGGCACAAGAGGAAAAATCTGGGGACCACTGAAGTTCTTAGGATTCATACTCTTGGCATGTTGTATATCTGTGCCAAATGTTATGGCAATCCGTCCATGAGCTGTTGAGACATTTCACTAAAAAACAAAATGCATCATGTTGCCCTAGAAGAAAAGACAGGGGATCACCAGTATAGGATTTAACCTCTAGGGGTAATACATGTTGTTGAGATATTTCAGCCTGGACCAACTGACTGACAGCAAACTACAAAGTTAGACTTGTGCAATGTAGGCAGGGTTTAACAGTGCTGCCAGCCATTATGCATTCACTCTAGACTGTCACCCTTGCAGCATCCTCCAGATTGAATGTGTGGCTGATGAGAATAGATGAGATAGGATGAGAGTGTGGAAGTAAAGCTTAAGTCATCCATGATTTAAATGTGTCCTCGAGGAAAAGCCTTTCTGTACATCTATGTCCTAGTTAGCCACCATCTGTGCCAGCAATATTACCAGCATGCTACTGTCTGTGCAAGGAATGATGGGAAGTTAGACCTTGAAATGACCCTTCAACAGCATATTTTAACACCTTGCTTCTCTATATTGTCTCTGGTCTTCCAGGTACAACCGTGTGGAGGACTGGATAGAAGTACGAGGTGGACAACCTGAAGACATGGAATAAAGGGAATTTGGAGACGACTGAAACAACTTGAGTCAGATCCATAAATACAAGAAACTGACTCGTAAAAAAACACGTACAGCTGGAAGAGAGCTGTAGAGTGAGGAAGAGAGAAGCTGAAGCAGATGAGGAGTGAAGATGGGGTGTGGTCAGACGCTCGCCATGTTTCTGCTGGACTCTACAGTGCACCCCGTTAGCCGCCGGTCAAAGCAGGAGCCTCCTCGCTAAAACCAGAGCAGCTCATTTCACCTGCTGGAGGAGCTCCCACACTCGGTGATGTGATGAATAAGTTTGAAGTCCTTGGCATTGTTGGAGAAGGTACGTGGTTTCACACAGCATATTTTACAGCATGTTTGTAGCATGTGAGAACTGTACATACTGTTGTTACCAACTCTTGTTCTGGCGATCAGAGCCACTGAGGGCACCAATGTCATATCCACTGTATCCACCTGTGTGTAAGGTGCATTTTACATCGTACAGCTGAAACCTATATATCACTGTTGTCAGATCTTGGATCTCCAACATGTCCCCTTTTCAGGAGCTTAGCATTTTTGCCACAATGCAGAGGGACATTAAAGGGGTCTGTGAGCCTGAGAGTTGGAGAGATTTCTCATAGAATAGTATATAATCCTTAGAGACTGTCCTCAAAAAGAAAACGACAGCATTAGTCATTTGTTTACCATGTACTCTGAAGTAGTTTCCAGGGCCTTTATTTAACTCAACTGCAGAAAGAAGAGGCCTTTATCTCAAACAGGCTTATATTAGACAGGTCTTTATTCCTACATTTCCCTGTTTTGTCAGCACATCTTGCATGATTTTTTGTTAAAAAATCTGCTCTGAAATGTGAAATAATCTGCTCCTAACTCAAAACATCCTCAATGTTTATCTGATGTCAAGATAGTGTCCATTTTTACAGCACTCATTTCATCAGTGCACTAACAGTTATGTCATAATCACCAATCTGCTGCTCTGAGTTTCTCCGCTCTGACAGAAACACTGTTTTCATTATCTAACTATTTCCAGTTGCATTCATTTCAAAGTTTTTTTTTTTTTTTTAAAGATGGTAAAGTTACCATCAATGAAATTCAACACTTCCTGGATTGGTGTTTCACATTAAAAGCTCTCCAGCAGCTCCCAGGGCATGAACCCTCTCCTTAGTAGACTTTTAATCTGCATGTTCAGGTGTTGAATTTCACGGTCTGTAACCAAACCACAGCAGAGTAGAAGCAACTGGAAATAATTAGTGAATTAAAACAGTATTTGTGTCAAAAAGAGAAACTGATGAGAGAGAAAAAGAGAGTACTGATGGAAACAGTGCTGTGTAAGGGTGTCACGATACCAGGATTTTAGGATACAATACTAGTATAAAAACACGATACTGGATACCATGGTAAAATTATAAAAATGAATAAATGTCACTGAACACAAACTGCGGACCAGTTGATTTTCTTCTCTGTTGTTTCATCCGTGCAACCTTGGATTGAAAATCTGATTGTAGATCTAATTTTTTTTCTTTATAGCTTCAGTACTTTCGATACTATTGAATATATTATTAACAGAGATCATAAAAAAGAAAGAAAGCTATGTTTATATTTGCTTGACAAAGACCTCCAACAGCCATGTGAATTATGACTCTTGCCCGTCAGGAACAAAGCTGGATGTAGCTTGATGTTGGTGTAGCACTGCAAAACCTCGTGGGGAGGAGGTCAAAGTGGATGTTTGGGTTAAGAAAGTATGTGACATGAACATGACAGACCGCTGTTCATTTTACATGTTGAGCAGCAGCCAACCTTGTTCTCTTTTAATCCTGACCACAATCTTTTACAATCTTTCCTAAGCATGAGATTCACATTTTCACCAGATTGCAATGACATGTTTGTCTTTTATCACACACATCTGTAGTTCAGACTCTATACACATCTTTAGACTTCTTTCAAGCCAAGGAAAAGTTTTAAATATAAAGGGATTCAAGTTCCTGAATTGAATTCATCTAACAGTGAAACTTTTAGCCTCGCAGAAAATATCTGAAATACTGAGGTCATGCACATTAGCCAGTAGATTGTGTGCATTAGTTTGTTTTTGTGCGTGTGTGCTTCTGTGAGTGTGTTTGAGTGTGTTTTACTGAAGAATAAAAAAGGTTTGTTCAACTCTTGCTTCAGTGACAACATTGATGGCTGGTTAGAAAATGAAATAAAAGAGGATAAAATGTGAAGTCTTGCTGTGAAAGACTCGCAAGTATTCCACACACAGGTCCTTCACACATCAAACCATGCAGAAATGCAGAAATTATTTCTCTCAGTCAGCGGCGTCATTGGTTGCTGATTTCAGTGAGATGGACTGACATGCCTCCCTGGCTTCACTCTAATGTGAAAAGACAGAGTAACCGAGTGTTTATTGTACTGTTGATAATTCTCACTAACTGTAATCTACATGAGTGCCTGTCAGCATACATTAATCAAAAAGTTAGCTACACAAAGAACTGCAATTAAATGATGGAAGTTTTAAAGCCACAGCAACAACATTTTTCATGCTTTTTACTTGTTTTAAAGGTATAAAATAGAACTTTTCCACATTAAAATGTCTATGTCTGTCTATGTTGTATATTTTGTTGAGTTATGAGTTATTCTTACCTTACCCCAACATGTTTGCAAAAAATGTTGGACCCCAGATAAATCCATTATTTTATTCAGGTAATAGAGCATGTCCTTGCTTGCCTCTAGTTTTTATAACTACCAGGACACATCGGATACGTCAGAGAGTGAGCAAATGAAGTCAGCGAACGTGACTAAGCGTTCTTTGAATAAATCTTTAATATTTTCTAGGCTCATCCATGAATAATACCTGCTTAAATCACGTCAGATTGATTTCAAACTACATCTTTTGTTACTGTTTTGATGTCAGAGACTTACTAGCAGCACCAAATTGCATACTGTACATGTAAAGTCACCATGTGTAGAGTGTCTTTCAATTCATTCTGATGGCATGAGTTAAAGGTAGTCATTTTTATCATTGTAAAACACATTTTATTGACTATTTTCCTCAACATAAGAACAATGTAGTCTCTTGGATAATTTAACTGTACTTACATAAAAGTTTTATTTAGAAATCATGCTTTCTCTCTGTTTGACATGGCAAAATGACATGCCTCAGTACCTTTGAGCCTCAGCCACCCATAAGAAAGAGGCCCTTTAGAGTCATGAATCAGAGCTGTAGCAAATTCAGAACACTTTGTTGTTGCACGCAGGAACAAAACACAGCATCAACTGATATATTCTTTCAAAATTTACCTTGAATCAAAAAACTGATCTGATTTAAACCATTGACTCCATTTTCAAGTTTCCACAAAGCATAACCTTAGCCAGTCAACAAGCTTAAAATTCTCTTGTGTCAGTACACAAGAGAATTTTAAGCTTGTCGATCGGGTGTTTCTTATGGAAATACTCAGGGCTGTTGACTTCTCTCCTCACTGTTGCACATTCTTGTATTTCTAACTTACAAAAAACAGATATTTTCAAACACAGTGTCTCATCTTTTGTACCAGCAGTTCAAGGAGGTTTCAGTCCACCCAAGCCTTGGAATTGCTCCAACCGCCACTCACCTACAGTAACATTGTTTATGTAGAAAACACTGTAAACATTTCACTTCTGGAATTCTGGAGCATGTTTCACAAAGTTTGCAACAAAAGATCATTTCCTCCCACATTTCAATAATCAAAACAAATGTACTCACGAACCATGCAGGAGCATGTATAGAGCTCTGTACAGACTCACAAATTGATCTGCTATTTGTGAGTGTAGATTATTTCTCTTCTTATTAAGTGTCACTGCAACCATTTGTGATCTGCATGAAAGCAAAGCTTGCAAATTCCCTTATGGAAACAGGCCCCTGGAAGTCTAAACTAACTCACAACACTGTAACAGCATAGGTTTTTCTAATCACAGAAGGTTTGTTTCATTAGTCTTCCGGAAAAGCTGGACTATGTTCCTACAGGTTTCTGTCCATACCCATAGATGATGAAAGGGTATATTTGCTGGATAGTCATGAAAATATTTAACATTATTTATTTAACAAACATAAAACAATGATTCTGTCAGTATTCAACAACTACAGCTACCATATGGCTTGCTGTAGGGAATGTTAACAAAATAACTGTTGTTTTATCTTGTTTCAGCTTTTCACAAAGAACAATGAAAGTATTATCTAGAGGAAAAGCCATTTTTATTACAGATGCTAGTATGACATAAACTAGATAGGAAAATGGGTGTAATCAGCCCCTCATAAGACCAAAGTTGTACTTTAAATAACCTTAAAAAACATTTAATCACAGCACAAACACCAAGCCAGGTAACACTGATGGCTACAACACATCCCCCCGAGCAAACGGGGACATCAGAAATCTTAAAATCTAAAATATGGATGATCAGCTGAGAACAGGACATGCTTGGCAAAGACAGAAACCCACAGAGATACTGTGTGTGTGTGTGTGTGTGTGTGTGTGTGTGTGTGTGTGTGTGTGTGTGTGTGTGTGTGTGTGTGTGTGTGTGTGTGGTGTTAGTTGTCAAAGGTATAAGCATACGTGTGTGTTAAATGTGTGGGAGAGTACCTATGCATCCGCCTCACCTATTAACTGTTGATTCTTTGATGGTTCTCACCTGCTGCACTTGTTTTATATGAACATGTTTGTTCGAGGTTTAGAAGACCAAAACGTAACTGAGATGTTGAAACTTATTGATCTTTTGTTTCTTCCTCTCTGTTTCTCTGTCCAGGAGCGTATGGAGTGGTGCTTAAGTGCAGGCATAAGGTAAGACAGTGTTTCTCATTTCTGGATTTTATGAAAATGGTTTCCTTTATTGTGATATGAAGTCTTTGTGTTGCAGTGCATTTTGATAGTGAATAATCAAATTAAAATATGTAGAAAATGAAACTAGAGCTGCAATGACTAGTCGATTAATCATTTGAGTAATTTTTCAAGCAAAAAGTCCCAAAATGTTCAAGCTTCTGTGGATTTGCTGCTTGTATATGGACCTTTTTGAACTATTTTGGGGTTTTGGACTGCAACACTTAAAGCAGCACTATTAAAGATTTTGTATTAGTTGTGATTTGGCGCCCGCAGTTTCAGAGTGAAATGCTTTTGTCGTAAATATGGATCACTGTACGTGTGCATGTGTTATGATTACATTACTTATGATCAACAACTTGCAAGTCGATTTTTGCCAACACAGCCATTAGTGCAAGAACAGATGTACAGGATGTAGAGTGAGAATGACAGATGCACCATTCACCCCTATTACAAGTCAGTGCAGCATCAAAATGATTTTAAAGCTGTTAAGGTTAAGGTAGAAAAGTTACATAATGGGGCTTTAAGGGCATTACTTTGTACTTTGCATGGGCATTTTCCACTACTTCATAAACTAAATGATGAATCAATCAGTTGACAGTGTAAATGTCTGTTAGTTGCAGCCCTGAATGAATCTAATCTCAGAAGTGGATGTCTGACATTTCAGTTTCATTGGGCCTCTAGTTAATGTAAAAAATGAGTACTTAATATCTCCAGACATAGATATTTGCATCAACTTAGTAGGAATATAAATCACTCTCTGCTGAGATATTAGATATATCGTCTTTCCTTCCTTATTGCCGCTAGCAGATATTAATGTATTGTAAATATCATTAACAATGGTAATTTCTACACACAAGCTGGAGAAATACTATGCCCAATAATGATGCCACTAGTTGCTTGTGGTGTTCAAACTCATAAACTTCAGTCACATACTGACCTACTCTCTCACATTGTCTGCATGAATCTGAATATTCTCTGAAACAGACTGGTGTGTAATAAGGGCTCCAACCGTTGCTCTTTAAAAAAGTATTTAAATGTATGCCATTAATGTGCTTGGTATGCATGAACGCAAGGCCTGTTGGTATGACTCATTCAGCAGTGCCTACCATACGTGACTGAATCCCAGCTCATGTATTGCTGTTGTATCTTCGTCTACTGTTGGCTGTTTCTCTGCAGTGTGTTTCAAGCTAATGTTTCAAAATCTTAACTGGCCATAATGATACATTTCAAATCTTTTAAGCTAGACTGTAACTCGTATTAACCAGCAGACACAGTGAAAGCATGACAATTGTTGTTTAATGATAAAACCTAATGTAACATTAGCACATAGTAGAGTCAAAGTCAACAAACAGGCTCAGGCAGTTACACAGATATATACATACATTAGCTAATATGGAGAAAAAAAATTAAAAAAAACCTACCTACAGGTACAAATAAAGTAACCATATACCAAACTAGGGCTTTCACTTTCAAAAAATCTAATTCAAAATGTAATTCTTTCAAATACAACTCTCTCTGGTCCAACAAAACATTGTGGAATTGGTGTTCTTTTGTGCTGCTTCACTTGAGTGACAAGCTAATGTTACTGTAAGGCAAGTGAACTTTACACAGTCAGAAAACAGGCTTACTTTTTATAAAAACAATTTTCTTATTATCTATTTTAAACAAACCCACGTCTGAGGTTGGTTCAAACGCTGCTACATGACACTTAATTAATGATTCATGTAAAGAAATGAAGTGTATGTCAGTAAATTCACTCACATGGTAACCAGCCCAACTCTTATCTAGCCCTCTGACATCTTCACTTGCAGAAGTTCAGCTTAATATTGCTGACAAAGATGCACTTCCCATGGCTGTCATTCTCGCCTCGGTATTCGTCTCTTACCACCTCTCCTTAGAAGGCATAATTGCTTCAGTAATAAGGGCCAATACGAAGATGCATATATTGTATGGCTAAGATACAATTACTATGTGCCAAGAAATTAGTTTAATATAATTCACATATGTATAGTATTAGGCTAAATAAAGGCTTGGAAGACATAATGCATTTTATGCACAATTCTAAAAGCAACACTAAATACTGTAATGCTAAATAGTTCAAGCATAGATAGGCTGGAGATAGATGACCGGGAACACCAACCTCCCAACCTGATATTTTGCCTGATATATGTTTTTTTTTATTCTTTAAAAAACGTCAAACGTCAGGTGCTCAAGCCCCCTTTGAGGTCTATCCATCCACGTGCAAGGATGATTCAGTGTCATGAGTATTTGTTAAAACACAGCTTGCTAGTTTTCTCACTTTTCTGTAAGCCAAGAGAAGCATAGTTGATAATGCAACAGGGCATGACAGTGCATTTTACTGAAGAACAAGACACAGCTGGATGCGCTCATGTTGAATTTGAACATATTATTACAGATTGAACATTGGATTTTTCCCCACATTGAAAGGGTTTTTTGAATTGCGAACAAAAATGATAGCCCTGATGATAGCAACAAACCCCCAGACTGGTGGAATTGAGCAAAGGTTCGTGTTTTATTGCCTATCAATTCAATTAGGCTAAGTATTGTATTAAAGTTACATAGTCCTACTTTAGGTAACTTTTCAGCTAGGAAAATCTTTGGATGTTTGGAAAATATCACATGCACACCAATACAATCTAAAGTCGAATCAGACCACCTCTAAAAGTAGGCTATATCTCTGAGGACATTGTATAGGGTTTTGCATTTCTTATTTCATTCAGATTTTTGCATACAATGAAACGGCTCATGGAAGCATTTTTGACCATAGTAATTAAAAAGCTTTTGACCTAGTCTTTGTTCACGTCACGTGTTCCACCTTGTAATGATCCTTTAGACTTTAGAGAGCAGGAACAATATGTTTAGAAAGCTACAACAAGTAAAATTATTCAAGTACATGAGTGAATACACTTAGAAACAACCTCTAAGGCTAAAACCAATACATTTGTTATGAATGAAATGGCAAACTGATGAGAGAGCATGGGGTTAATGATTACAGATTACTGGAACTATTATTAGCACCTGCATTCAAGGCCTCATTAACAAAGTGATGTTAAGAGTTTAATCTAAATGAATGGGGATCCATAAACAATCATATTTCCTTTTTCATAACTTATCATAGAATTGGGTATTTGTCTGTAAAACGGTTAACAGGACACCTCAAACTGCAAAAAAGGTCAGTTATGAATTTCTATTATGGATTTTTGATCCATGGAGGTTTTATGCTTCCTAAACCTTCCTTGAGTTGAGAATTTTTTTTTATTTGAAGTTTTATTGCATTTTATAACAGGAATATCCACCAACAAATAGCAACAAAAATAAAAACAAAAACCAGGTAGGAAACCAACAGAAATTAACATAAGATAGCAGATATTTGGTTACAATAATGTGGTATGTATTAGTACATTCAAATAATTACATAGCTAGTGTACAACATTGTAATACTCTTTTCAAGTTAGGTTGCACCCTATGGACATATATCCACTAAAGCTGTCCCATCATTCCTTAACCATCTAATTTTTACAGTTCAGTCTTCCCAGCAACAATTCCATCATTGGTTTCCTCCACATGTTCATGTCGAGCACATGTTATTAATCCAGTTGTTAACACTTAAAATGAAAATGTACTCAACTGTAGTACTGTAGTTTTGTCCCTAAGGAGGCACATTGTTGGTGATTTGGGAAGTTCACATTCTAACCATTCACCCATGTATTCCAGAACATTCCTCCATAGGAGAAAAACCAGGGGTCATTCCCAAAATGCATGCATGTATGTACCAGGGTGTAGTAATATCTATGAAGTATTTCATATTGGATAAATTTGCCCCTGGCTTCTCTGATGTATTCTCCTTTGTTGGAAATAATCCTCTCCCATATTTCTTCATCACATATACAGGCCAGGTCTTTTCCCCTCTCCTCCTAAGGTTTTTACAATCGTTGTTATTTACCCAAGGACATAGCTCATACCACTTTGATGCTTTATGAAACATTGTCGGCAGTTGTAGATAGTGCTCTACTGGGTTTTTTTCATGTGTGAAAGTGAACTTTCCCCTTAATACAATGTCTACTTTGAAAATATTACTTAACCACTAAGCCCAATAAATTGTTTAGGGTTTTTTTATGTTTTTATTTTGGGAGTGTACCATATGGATACATATTTCTGATTATTATGAGAGATGTTACATTTTTATTTACTTCTTGCCAAACAGTCTTTGAATGTATTAGAATGGGATTCATCCAATTATTTTTCTCCCCTTCTAATATTTGTGCTAAAAGCTCAATAGGTTTAAAAGGAGACGTAAGCTCCTATTCAATCAAAATCCAGTCCAATTCAGAATTTGTTTTAGCCCAGTGTCTGGCAAGTTTAGCCATTTCAAAAGAAATATTGTAATATTTTATGTTTGGTAGAGATAGGCCTCCACTCTTCTTGGGCTGGCAGAGCTGGTCCACATGAATCCTAGGTTTTCTTCCATGCCAAAGAAAATGTTTTATGATATTATTTTGTCTTAGTAGTAATTGTTTTGGAATACACATTGGTATCATTCCAGTTATATAATTTATCTATAGGACTATAACCATTTTTATTGTGTTCACTTTCTCCCATAACGTCAAGCGTAATTTACTCTAGATTTTTTCCAGAAGACCTTTAATTTTGTTCAATAATGTTTCATTATTGGTGGTAATGATTTCTCATATGCCTGGATTCGGTTCTATCCCCAATTATTTCATACCATTTGAAAACCATTTGAAGTTACATGTTGACAGTAGATTGGAGGAATATATATAGTCTGATTTAAGCCAATTCATTTTGTACCGAGATACTTTGGAATATGCTTCAATAACTTCTAACAGCACTGATATAGAGGTGACTGATTCTTGACTCAATACCGAAATGTCATCAGCATACAGAAATAATTTGTGTCCACTGCTGCCTCCAATAACTCT